GGCTGGAAAGCACCACTGTTTTGGTGTTGGATTTGTTGGCTGGTTATTCTTCTGATTTATCGATCCGTTGTTTAGATCCTGGGGTCTTGTGAATTTGAGATTTTGAAACATTTTACCAAAACAAAGCTTGAGTGGTGTCCGTGGAGGAGGACAGGGTCATTGGGTTGTTGGAGTTAAAGGTACGCTAGGTGAGATTTTGGATGGAAAATGACTCTTTTTCGATACCCACACCCAGCCAAGACCGAACAGTTGGCCACTAACACCTGCGCCGAGAGAGAAGACCTCTGATGTGTTGTTGACAGAAACATTTGCAGCTGCTACTACAAAGAGCAGGAGTTTTATTTATGCAAAATCTGAAATATTCTAAAATCCTAAATACTTAGAGAGACACGACTGATTTATGCAACCTCTATGTTTAAATATGCAAGGTTCAAAAGCAATACTGGATTACTATACTAGAGTCAGAACTAAAACACGGGGAGTTCGTGCAGCTCTATTGGGCAGCACGGTGGCTGAGTGGATTGCCCTCTCGCTTCTCAGCAAGAAGGTCCTGGGTTCGAATCCCGGTCGGAACAGGGCCTTTCTGAGTTTGCATGTTCTCCCCGTGTCTGCGTAGGTTTCCTCCGGGTGCTCCGGTTTCCCCTACCACTAAAAACATGCACAATAGGTATGAATGTAAATGAGAGAGTGAATGGATGGTGTTGGAGCTGATGGTCCAGTGTGTTCTGGACTCGCTTCTGTCATCACCGTGTGTGGAATGATGGGAACAATATCTGACTCTGAACATTGTAAAGTGCTTTGGGTGACCTTGGTCTGTAAAATGCGCTATTTAAATAAACATTACTTACTTACTTACTTACTTACTATAATCTGGAACAATCTTCCTGAAAATGTGAGACAGGCCTCTTCTCTGACAATATCTAGGTTAATAACAATTCTGCTTAGCTGTGCAAACATCTGAGGGATTTGTAACTTTTAATATACTGTGATTATTTACGCTATCTTATCCCGTCCAGCTTTGAGTTTGTTTTGTGTATGAATTGCGCAATACAAATAAACTTGCCTTGCCTATCATAATAACCGATTAGTTGCAGCTAATCTATGAACTTGTTATAAAGCCCTAGAGATAGTGTGGTGGCTGGATGGCATCCATCCATCCATCCATTTTCTTCCGCTTTATCCGTTGCCGGGTCGCGGGGGCAGCTGTCCAAGCAGAGACGCCCAGACTTCCCTATCCACACACACCTCCTCCAGCTCGTCCGGGGGGACCCCAAGGCGTTCCCAGGCCAGCTTAGAGACATAGTCTCTCCAGCGTGTCCTGGGTCTTCCCCGGGGCCTCCTCCCGGTGGGACGTGCCCGGAACACCTCCCCAGGAAGGCGTCCAGGAGGCATCCTGAACAGATGCCCAAGCCACCTCAACTGGTTCCTCTCGACGTGGAGAAGCAGCGGCTCTACTCCGAGCTCCTCCCGTGTGACCGAGCTCCTCACCCCATCTCTAAGGGAGCGCCCAGCCACTCTGCGGAGGAAGCTCATTTCGACCGCTTGTATCCGCGATCTCGTTCTTTCGGTCATTACCCACAGCTCATGACCATAGGCAGTGTTGGGCACGTTACTTTGAAAAAGTAATTAGTTATAGTTACTTCTCCCAAAAAGTAACTGAGTTACTAACGGAGTTACTCCACTATAAAAGTAACTAGTTACCAGTAAAAGTAACTATTGCGTTACTTTTTCGTTTTGTTCTGGAACATAATGTGCACCCGACGTGCGCATTTTTACCTTTAACAGTGCCAATATTTCCATCTAGAAAAGGCTGTTTTGCTGCTGAAGTCCTGTTCACTCTTCATCTCTCTCTGTGCTGTAAAGCCCGCCACTGTGAATGTGGAAACACCGGTGACGAGCGGTGAGGCTGGTGAAGCACTGACTTCAGTCCAATCAGATGAACATATATATCATATAAATCAAGTGGACAATTTGTTTGGCTACAGCAAAATATGTTTTATGCCCGCATTGTTTGTTCATACAAAACGCAAAACTATGAGTTATGGGTCTTACCTTATAGCTATACCTTATAAATGACCTGCACAGTCCACTTCGGTTCAGACCAGTTCCTTGTTTAAATCCAGTGAATGGTTTGAGCGTAGATATGTAATCCTTCATTTGGAAATGAGTCCAATGAGTTTTAAAAAGTAAAACAAAACGCGTGTGTCCTCCGTAAACTCCTCTGTTTTGCTGCAGCCGGCTGCATCCAATTTCTAAAATCAACCGTCTTACACTTCACCTCTCTTTCTTATCATTCCTATAGTAATTGAAAAATTACCCTATGTGCATTTTAGATTATGTAAAAATGTGTTATATGTATGTTAGCCAAACCTGTTGCTGTCCTTAGCAGATAAACCAGGAAGAGCAAGGAGCTTATCGATGGAATTGTATGTAGCCGACTTCTGCGCTCACATGCGCTACTCTGTGGCTGACCTCACGGTGATACAAGCCGTGGTTGAGCGCGATTAAGACCCATATTTGTTTCAAAAACACAATTTATGAGCCATCCTCTCAACTGTAGACATGTGGATTGTAAAGGAAATATGATTTACATCAGCCAATAATTGCTGAGAGGTTTTCTCATCCTCCCTTCTCTCATGACAACACGTTCATTGTGCGTCTTGAGTAACGCGCAGTAACGGGATGTCAGAAATGATAACGGCGTTATAGTTACTGTCAAAGTAATTAGTTAGATTACTCGTTACTGAAAAAAGTAACGGCGTTAGTAACGCCGTTACTAGTAACGCCGTTATTCCCATCACTGACCATAGGTGAGGGAGGGAACAAAGATTGACCGGTAAATCGAGAGCTTCGCCTTTCGGCTCAGCTCCCTCTTTACCACAACGGTCCGATACAGAGACCGCATCACTGCGCACGCTGAACCAATCCGCCTGTCAATCTCACGCTCCATCCTTCCCTCACTCATGAACAAGACCCCGAGATACTTGAACTCCTCCACTTGAGGAAGGACCTCTCCACCCACCTGGAGAGGGCAAGGCACCTTTTTCCGGTCGAGCACCATGGCCTCGGATTTGGAGGTGCTGATTCTCATCCCAGCCGCTTCGCACTCGGCTGCAAACCGTCCCAGTGCATGCTGCAGGTCCTGGTTCGTTGGAGCCAGCAGGACGACATCATCCGCAAAAAGTAGAGATGAAATCCTGTGGCTCCCGAACCGGACCCCCTCCGGCCCCTGGCTGCGCCTAGAAATTCTGTCCATAAATACAGTGAACAGAACCGGTGACAAAGGGCAGCCTTGGCGGAGGCCAACATGCACCGGGAACAGGTCTGACTTACTGCCGGCAATGCGAACACAGCTCTGACTCCGGTCATACAGGGACCGGACGGCCCTCAGCAGAGGACCCCGGACCCCGTACTCCCGGAGGACCCCCCAAAGGACACCCCGGGGAACACGGTCGAACGCCTTCTCCAAATCCACAAAGCACATGTGGACTGGGCGAACTCCCATGAACCCTTGAGTATCCGATGGAGAGTATAGAGCTGGTCCAGTGTTCCGCGACCGGGACGAAAACCACACTGCTCCTCCTGAATCCGAGATTCGACCATCGGACGTAGCCTCCTCTCCAGTACCTTGGAGTAGACCTTACCGGGGAGGCTGAGGAGTGTGATCCCACGATAATTGGAACACACCCTCCGGTCCCCCTTCTTGTAGAGAGGGACCACCACCCCGGTCTGCCACTCCATTGGCACCGCCCCCGATCGCCACGCGATGCTGCAGAGACGTGTCTGCCAAGACAGTCCTACAACATCCAGAGACTTTAGATAGTCAGGACGGATCTCATCCACTCCCGGAGCCTTGCCACCATGGAGGCTGTCAACCACCCTGGTGACCTCGGCCAGGGAGATGGAAGTATCCGCCCCAACATCCTCAGCCTCTGCCTCCTGGACGGAGGACGTGACGGGGGGATTGAGGAGAACCTCGAAGTATTCCTTCCCCCGCCCGACAATATCCCCAGTCGAGGTCAGCAGCCCTCCACCCGCACCATACACTGTGTTGGCAAAGAACTGCTTCCCCCTCCTGAGGCGCCGGACGGTTTGCCAGAACCTCTTTGAGGCCGACCAATAGTCATGCTCCATGGACTCTCCGAACTCCTCCCAGTCCCGGGTTTTTGCCTCTGCAACAGCCCGGGCCGCGGCACGTTTGGCCTGCCGGTACTGGACAGCTGCCTCAGGAGTCCCACGAACCTATCATTGCTCGATAGGACTCCTTCTTCAGCCTGACGGCATCCCTTACTGCCGGTGTCCACCACCGGGTTCGGGGATTGCCGCGGGGACCAGCACCAGAGACCTTGCGACCACAGCTACGAGCTGCCGCATTGGCGATAAAGGAAGAGAACATGGTCCACTCGGACTCGATGTCCCCCTCCTCTGCCGGGACCTGGGAGAAGCTCTCCCGGAGGTGTGAGTTGAAAGTCCGTCTGACAGGGGGCTCAGCAAGACGTTCCCAGCAAACCCTCACTACACGCTTGGGCCTGCCAGGTCTGACCGGCCTCCTGCCCTGCCAGCGGATCCAACTCACGACCAGGTGATGATCAGTTGACAGCTCCGCCCCTCTCTTCACCCGAGTGTCCGAGACACGCGGTCGAAGGTCAGATGATACGACAACAAAGTCGATCATCGACCTCCGGCCTAGGGTGTCCTGGTGCCACGTGCACTGATGGACACCCTTGTGCTCGAACATGGTGTTCGTGATGGACAGGCCGTGACTGGCACAGAAGTCCAACAACTGAACACCGCTCGGGTTCAGATCAGGGGGGCCGTTCTTCCCGATCACCCCTCTCCAAGTGTCACTGGCATTTCCCACATGGGCGTTGAAGTCCCCCAGGAGAATAACGGAGTCCCCGGGCGGTGCACTGTCCAGTACCCCTCCCAAGGACTCCAAGAAGGCCGGGTACTCTGCAATGCTGTATGGCATTTCACATATTATTTTTGAAGACCCTCCGATGAACGGCCTCCCCACAAACCCTCATGTCCTGCTTGTCTCATGTGGAAAGACGGCAGGATCTGAATACGCCAAATCGTCAGTCACTAAGAAACACAACCGGACGTACGGCATCCAGCTTTGTGATGAGAAGAAGCCCTTTCTGAAAGTTTTCCGAAGTCTCCGTATGACGACTTTGTAATGTGTCATACGTTTGCTTCTGCTTCTGATCAGAAAGTTGATGTGCATAATCTCATTGTAGTGATTGGAAAAGCTTTGGAGAACCACAAGCGCCAGATTTAGTCTGTCTGCGCAGCCATATTGCTGATCAGCGCCCAGAACATTTGTCAAAGATTCAATGTGCAATCCAGTTTTGCATTTGGGTCAATGGCATAAACTCTATAGGGTTAGAGTTATGGTTACATTTATATGTTAGGGTTAACTTCTACGCGTTCAGTAACCTCATTATTGATCTCATTGCAAGGGAGTCCAGTAAGAGGCAGATGTTTAACCACGTCTAACCTGTAGAGCAGTGGTCCTTAGAAACTTGCTGAAATGCATCGCAGCCAAAAAAAAGTATGGCAGAATTTAGTAATAGATATAATCAGAGATAAAATAGTTAAAAAGTGCAATTTAAAGAACCCCAAGTCAAATCAAATGCACTTATATTAATTGTATACACATTTCCGGCGTAAATCTTGTTAAAAACTGGCGGTTATGGCCTGTATACAGTAGATCTCTGTAACCTTCTGCTCTGGATTACAGGGTGTGCTGTATTATTTACAAGGCCAATCTCTCAGTGTGAGCCCTGCTGCTGTTCTGCAGTGTTCTGGCCTCAGGACAACTCAACTTTACACCACCTCTTACTCCGCTGGCGGGTCACTGCATAAAAGAGAAGAGCATTTGACTGGGGCCATTTGGAGTCAAGAGTTATTTGTCTCCTGAGAACTAGTTGACCCTTTCAGAGTCAGTGTTTATCAATACTAAAATCACCAAAAGAGCAAAAGATAAAAATCATAGACTGTAAATATTAACGGACGTAGTTACACCTATCTCCGCTGTTGAAACTAATGTTCCATCACTTTTGCTCAAGTTCCATCTGCTGAAGTTGTAAATTTCTCCATTGTGAGATCAAAAAAGTCTTCTTATCTAATCTTATCTGAAGTTCTGGTGACTCTGTGGTGTTGGAGTGGATCAGAAGAGAAGCAGGAGCTGGTGCGAGGGTAAAGGACAAACCATCTCCTCCTAAACAACTTTCTTTGTTCAATAACTGTCGGTATGCATTTTCCGGCTATGCACTGCCCCTCTTCTCATGTTTCGGGACCATAAGATGTGGGGACCTCTGACTCTGGATCTGTTACATGATGAAGCAAAGGAGGACTCAAAACGCAGGAATGCAAAAATATGTATGATGAAAAATATAAATCAAAGGTAAAAATCAAACTCAAAAACCCAAATAAATACGGGAACCAGGAACATGGACATAGACAAACAGTGACATTGACAATGGACCAGTGAGAAGGGGAAAGTAGCACAGGTACACATAGACACAGGTGAAACATATTAGGGCGGGGCAAACTGTCAATAGGGGAAAGAAGTCAAAATAAAACCAATTTTAAAATACACGCCGTGACACTTTCTCTGTTTAATACAGAAGGGCCATTTTGAGTGGGAAACATGTGTTAATAAAAACAGACTGGCTGGTGGTTTTAAGAGGTCTTTAAGCGATGATTAATGTTATGTGGAGGTAATTAGTTTGGAGTTGGATTCCCAGAAGCCTCTCTAGAGCAGTTAAACACGTGAGAGCGGACAAACAAACTCTCAAAGACACAGAATTAAGTCTGTCTAAATACTTGAGACACTGTCGCCCCTACTCTTGTTTTTGATTCTACCCTTTTTTTAAATTCTACTCAACACAAAAAAAACTCTAAATACGTATTTTAGAACCAGGAACTATTGTTTTCCACAACGGACATGACCCGTCGAGTTTTGTTTTGTCCGTTCTTAAAGCAGTATTTGAGCTCTGCAGACCTGCCTCAAAATTTAATGTTTAGTTTTGATCCAAAAATAAGACCTAAAGTTGAAGAAACCCATCCTGCTCTCTGATTGGATGATCTGCTTGAAAATCATGAACGTACTGTATATATTGAGAACACAATCTCAGAGTATTTTTGATTCAAGAATATCTTAACTTCCATCCATCCATCCATTTTCTTCCGCTTTATCCGTTGCCGGGTCGCGGGGGCAGCAGTCTAAGCAGAGACGCCCAGACTTCCCTATCCACACACACTTCCTCCAGCTCGTCCGGGGGGACCCCAAGGCGTTCCCAGGCCAGCTGAGAGATATAGTCCCTCCAGCGTGTCCTGGGTCTTCCGCGGGGCCTCCTCCCGGTGGGACGTGCCCGGAACACCTCCCCAGGGAGGCGTCCAGGAGGCATCCGGAACAGATGCCCGAGCCACCTCAACTGGTTCCTCTCGACGTGGAGAAGCAGCGGTTCTACTCCGAGCTCCTCCCGTGTGACTGAGCTCCTCACCCTATCTCTAAGGGAGCGCCCAGCCACTCTGCGGAGGAAGCTCATTTCGACCGCTTGTATCCGCGATCTCGTTCTTTCGGTCATTACCCAAAGCTCATGACCATAGATGAGGGAGGGAACGAAGATTGACCGGTAAATCGAGAGCTTTGCCTTTCGGCTCAGCTCCCTCTTCACCACAACGGTCCGATACAGCGACCGCATAACTGCGCACGCTGCACCGATCCGCCTGTCAATCTCACGCTCCATTCTTCCCTCACTCGTGAACAAGACCCCGAGATACTTGAACTCCTCCACTTGAGGAAGGACCTCTCCACCCACCTGCAGAGGGCAAGGCACCTTTTTCCGGTCGAGCACCATGGCCTCGGATTTGGAGGTGCTGATTCTCATCCCAGCCGCTTCACACTCGGCTGCAAACCGTCCCAGTGCATGCTGCAGGTCCTGGTTCGTTGGAGCCAACAGGACAACATCGTCCGCAAACAGCAGAGATGAAATCCTGTGGTCTCCGAACCGGACCCCCTCCGACCCCTGGCTGCGCCTAGATATTCTGTCCATAAATACAGTGAACAGAACCGGTGACAAAGGGCAGCCCTGTCGGAGGCCAACATTCACCGGGAACAGGTCTGACTTACTGCCGGCAATGCGAACACAGCTCTGGCTCTGGTCATACAGGGATCGGATGGCCCTCAGCAGAGGACCCCCGACCCCGTACTCCCGGAGAACCCCCCAAAGGACACCCCGGGGAACACAGTCGAACGCCTTCTCCAAATCCACAAAGCACATGTGGACAGGTTGGGCGAACTCCCATGAACCCTCGAGTATCCGATGGAGAGTATAGAGCTGGTCCAGTGTTCCGCGACCGGGACGAAAACCACACTGCTCCTCCTGGATCCGAGATTCGACCATCGGCCGTAGCCTCCTCTCCAGTACCCTGGAGTAGACCTTACCGGGGAGGCTGAGGAGTGTGATCCCACGATAATTGGAACATACCCTCCGGTCCCCCTTCTTGTAGAGAGGGACCACCACCCCGGTCTGCCACTCCATTGGCACTGCCCCCGATCGCCACGCGATGTTGCAGAGACGTGTCAGCCAAGACAGTCCTACAACATCCAGAGACTTTAGATAATCAGGGCGGATCTCATCCACACCCGGAGCCTTGCCACCATGGAGGCTACCAACCACCTTGGTGACCTCAGCCAGGGAGATGGATGTACCCGCCCCAACATCCTCAGCCTCTGCCTCTGTAACAGAGGACGTGACGGGGGGATTGAGGAGAACCTCAAAGTATTCCTTCCACCGCCCGACAATATCCCCAGTCGATGTCAGCAGCTCTCCACCCGCACCGTACATGGTGCTGGCAAAGAACTGCTTCCCCCTCCTGAGGCGCCGGATGGTTTGCCAGAATCTCTTCGAGGCCGACCGATAGTCATGCTCCATGGACTCTCCGAACTCCTCCCAGTCCCGGGTTTTTGCCTCTGCAACAGCCCGGGCCGCGGCACGCTTGGCCTGCCGGTACTGGACAGCTGCCTCAGGAGTCCCCCGAACCATCATGGCTCGATAGGACTCCTTCTTCAGCCTGACAGCATCCCTTACTGCCGGTGTCCACCACCGGGTTCGGGGGTTGCCGCCGGGACCAGCACCAGAGACCTTGCGACCACAGCTACGAGCCGCCGCATCGGCGATTGAGGCAGAGAACATGGTCCACTCGGACTCCATGTCCCCCTCCTCCGCCGGGACCTGGGAGAAACTCTCCCGGAGGTGTGAGTTGAAAGTCCGTCTGACAGGGGGCTCAGCGAGACGTTCCCAGCAGACCCTCACTATACGCTTGGGTCTGCCAGGTCTGACCGGCTTCTTCCCCTGCCAGCGGATCCAACTCACGACCAGGTGATGATCGGTTGACAGCTCCGCCCCTCTCTTTACCCGAGTGTCCGAGACACGCGGTCGAAGGTCAGATGATACGACAACAAAGTCGATCATCGACCTCCGGCCTAGGGTGTCCTGGTGCCACGTGCACTGGTGGACACCCTTGTGCTCGAACATGGTGTTCGTGATGGACAAACCGTGACTGGCACAGAAGTCCAACAACTGAGCACCGCTCGGGTTCAGATCAGGGGGGCCGCTCTTCCCGATCACCCCTCTCCAAGTGTCACTAGCGTTTCCCACATGGGCGTTGAAGTCCCCCAGGAGAATAACGGAGTCCCCGGGCGGTGCACCGTCCAGTACCCCTCCCAAGGACTCCAAGAAGGCCGGGTACTCTACACTGCTGTTAGGCCCGTAGGCCGTCACAACAATGAGAGACTTGTCCCCCACCCGGAGGCGGAGGGACGCGACCCTCTCATTCACCGGGGAGAACTCCAACACGTGGCGGCTGAGATGGGGGGCAATGAGAATGGCCACCCCAGCTCGCCGCCTCTCCCCGCGGGAAACTCCAGAAAAGTGGAGCGTCCAACCCCTCTCAAGGAGTTGGGTTCCAGAGCCCAAGCTGTGTGTGGAGGTGAGGCCGACTATCTCTAGTCGGTATCGCTCAACCTCCCCCACAAGCTCGGGCTCCTTCCCCCCCAGTGAGGTGACGTTCCACGTCCCAAGAGCCAGATGTTGTGTGTGCGGACTGGGTCGCCGAGGTCTCCGCCTTCGACTGCCGCCCAGTCCTCTCAGCACCGCTTCACCACGGACCCCTCTGCAGGTGGTGGGCCCACAGGAGGGACTGCCCACGTCATCCCTTCGGGCTGAGCCCGGCCGGGCCCCGTGGGCTAAGGCCCGGCCACCAGGCGCTCGCATACGGGCCCCGACCCCAGGCCTGGCTCCAGGGTGGGGCCCCGGCTGCGCCATGCCGGGCGACGTCACTGTTTTCATATTAGTGTTGTCCATGGTGTCTTCTGGACTGCTCTTTGTCTGACTCGTCACCTGAGACCTGTCTGCCATGGGAGGCCCTACCAGGGGCATGAAGCCCCAGACAGCTTAGCTCCCAGGATCATCCGAGTACTCAAACTCCCCCACCACGTTAAGGTGGCAGTCCAGGGGGGAGTTAAGCTATCTTAACTTTATAATGCCATATATGATCTGTACGTGTTGAGTCGATATCTGGGGACACTTATAATGTTATTGAGAGCAGTGTTTTTCAACCTGTGTGTCGTGGTACTGTACGTTTGTGTGCCTCCGGAGGCCTCTAAACTCACAGAATTGGACAAAATACTACGATTTTTTTGTTTTTGTCCTTGTTTGATTTTCTTTGCATACACTTTGAGAATGACTTGGATTGTTGCGGTGAAAAGGCTGTCGTGTTTCATTTTTACAGTTGGTGGTAAACAGTGATTTATTATTATTACACACTGTCCCTTACATACAACTTTATCTGATGAAATATCTGTGCTCATCCAGGAGGTTTGGGATTGGGCCGGGAAACTGATTATTGGCTAAACAATATCCTGAATGGTCTTTGAAATTTCTATAAAAATGTATATATTTAACCACCACTTTATATTCTTACTTTTACTCCAGCACTTTTTTTCTTTGGCACCTTTCTGGACACTCAAGGAGGCCTTACAAATCAAATAAAAAATACACTTAAAGACAGTTTAAAAACAAAACGGCATGGACGGAGGTGTAGTTCTGATGTAAGCGGAGAGGCTTGTCTAACCTTGAAAAATAAAAAAAATCTGGTTTGGTTCATTGATATTTTGTGTTTTACCCGTTCTTTTCCCTTCTCTAACTCGTTTTCGTTTTTCTTTTCTCTCGTCAGATGAGAGAGAAGACGTGCAGAAGAAGACTTTCACAAAATGGGTGAACTCGCAGTTAGTTAAGGTAAGAGCTACACCTTCACCTTTAATCTTCTCTCCCTCGTCTGTTTTTTTTTCATCTCAGAGAAACTCAAGTGTCATAGACAATAGTAGCTACATCTCTTTCTCACTCACAAGGTTAGCGCGCCGAAGCTAATGGAAAGTTGAAAGAGAGTGAATTCTTTCTCTTATGTCCCACTTGTATGACTTTTGTGATGTGTCCTTTACAAAACAGCGTTGGGTGGTCATTGAATTGAAAGGACAACCATTTTGGCCATTCAATGAAAAGACCGGTGTTGAGTTTGCTTTGGATTCAAGCTGTGAAAATCCCCTTGGACTCCAAATGGCTAAAACACAATTGCATTACTTTCAACACTTATCCATATTAAGTCTCATTCATCTCTGGGATTTCATTTAACACAAGCACTACTTTCCCAACGCAACTTATAACAGCCTTTTCGGGACAAGCTAATGGTGTGTTGGCAGCCGGCCCTTCAAAGTGCAAAGACAATTTTATTTTTGTCGTTGTATCATGTAGATATTTTTAGTTGCGTCTCTCCACTGTGAGACGAATAAAGAAAAATCTAATCTCATAGTTTTGGAGTAAATAATGTAAGTACATATACAGTATATGGGTGAAAACTATTATTTCTGTAATACCACTTACATTTGAATCCAATGTATGACTTTTGACCTGTGACATTTGCCAGGCCTGTGTTTTCTGTCATTTTGATCATGTCTTATGGTCTGTTTTCAAAATATTAAATTTTTTGTTTATGTTTGTCGTTCATTAGGATGGGACAGTGTGTATCAATGAACCGCAGAAGCTTTGTTGATCATATCCATAGTTCCACAGTCACAAACACCATGGTCTAATCTATGGAGCTATTATTGTTTCAATAATATTTGTGTGTGCGTAAAAAGATTTGTGCGTGCGTAACCAGATTTGTGTGTGCGTACCCAGATTTGTGTGTGCGTAACCAGATTTGTGCGTGCGTAACCAGATTTGTGTGTGTGTAAAAGAAATATTTGTGCGTGTGTAAATAGATTTGTATGTACGTATCAAGATTTGTGTGTGCGTAAAAAGATTTGTGTGTGCGTAGAAAGATTTGTGTGTGTGTAAAGAAAAAAAAAGTACGTTTTACACACAAGTTTTTTTTTTACACACGAATCTTTTGACGCAGTCCTGCCTTCGCAGATTCGCAAGTGTAACTTGGACTGTGTGCGTGCGTAAACAGATTTGTGTGTGTGTAATTTGACATTTGTATCTGTAGCAGAACAATCTGTGTGTAAATAACCGCGTTGTACAAAGAGAAGAACGAAAAAAGCCTCAGTGCTACGCACAGGCTCTGTTTTACACACGAATCTCTTTTTGACACACCTCTGCCGCCAAGCGTGTGTCAAAAAGATTTGTAAGTGTAATGTGGTTGTTCTAGCAGTACACCAGCAGATGGTGCTGTTGTAGCTGGTTATTACCTACACGCAAGCAAACCAAAACCTACTGCCTTGACAAGACACACTACCGCAGCTGTTTATGATATTTTTTTCCTATTTTCAAAATCCTGTCATTCACACCACTGTATGATACATGGATCTATTATAATAACTGGATAGGGTGTTACTAGCTTGGAGCTGAAGGATTCTCACGTACTGCAGACTAAATTCACGTTGGCTACACAGAAATTTTACCCATAGAACTCAAAGTAAACTAAAACAGCTGACAGATAACCTACAGCTTTCATAAAGGTCGGATTTTGTGGGAATTTTAGTGTTCCTTGTCATCCTGAACTTTTCTTCTTCTTAAATCCTTCGGTTTTCTCTATCTACACTATAGTGCCACAAACTCAGCTGGTTTGCTTGCGTGTAGGTAATAACCAGCTACAACAGCACCATCTGCTGGTGTACTGCTAGAACAACCACATTACACTTACAAATCTTTTTGACACACGCTCGGCGGCAGAGGTGTGTCAAAAAGAGATTCGTGTGTAAAACAGAGCCTGTGCGTAGCACTTAGGCTTTTTCCCGTTCTTCTCTTTGTACAACGCGGTTATTTACACACAGATTGTTCTGCTACAGATACAAATGTCAAATTACACACACACAAATCTGTTTACGCACGCACACAGTCCAAGTTACACTTGCGAATCTGCGAAGGCAGGACTGCGTCAAAAGATTCGTGTGTTAAAAAAAAACTTGTGTGTAAAACGTACTTTTTTTTTCTTTACACACACACAAATCTTTCTACGCACACACAAATCTTTTTACGCACACACAAATCTTGATACGTACATACAAATCTATTTACACACGCACAAATTGTCACGCCCCCATCTGTCACTAGTCTTCACAGCCTCTTGCTCCTCCCTGTGTGTGTGTGTGTGTGTGCGTGTGGACCTGGGTGGAGTCTGGAGCTGCTCACCTGCTCTCACTTCAACAATCAAGCAGCCTACATCCAGCCAGCTCTCCAGACAGACTCTGCCAGATTGTTTCGTCTCTATCACGGTGATTTTTCAGTCGGCTATTTTTGATATACTGCTGATACTTACCCCTTTTTTGCATACTCACCTTTTTGTCTCCTGTGTTCCTAGCTCCTGGGCTAGGACTAGTGGCAGCCCTTCCTTATCACCTCCGGAACAACGCAATAAACATTTCACTTTTGTATTTCTGTTTTAGTCTGTTTATTGGGTCCTATCGCCAAGCCTTAACAGAACAATCTGGCCAACATGGACCCAACAGACCCAAACGATTTGTTCGAAGTGGACACTGCATTGCAACCGGAACCCAACCCTTTATTCCAAGCTGTTTCCAGCCAAGGCCAACTACTTGGGAAGCACGAGACCCAGCTGAAAGAGATTTCCCACCCCAAATTACCTTCGTCATTGGAAACTGCTAAGATACTGGTGCAGCATGTTTTTCGTCTTCATGGTATCCCCATGGACATAGTCTCTGACCGGGGACCTCAGTTTTCCTCCCAGGTCTGGAAGGCTTTTTGTCAATCCCTCGGGGCTTCGGTCAGCCTTTCCTCTGGTTATCACCCTCAATCCAACGGGCAGACGGAAAGGGCTAACCAGGACCTGGAATCTGCGTTGCGATGTGTGACTGCCCGAAATCCAACTACTTGGAGCTCGTTTTTGCCCTGGGTGGAGTACGCCCATAACTCCTTGGTGACGTCTGCCACGGGTATGTCCCCTTTTATGGTCTCCTTGGGTTTTCAGCCCCCTCTTTTTCCTGACCAGGAGACTGAAGTTGCCGTGCCCTCGGTTCAGTTCCATCTGCGTCGCTGCCGCAGGATCTGGAGGGTGACCAGGGCGGCTCTCCGACGCACAGGTATCCGTAATCAGGAGATTGCCAACCGCCACCGTGTGGCTTCGCCTTCTTACCAGCCGGGACAGAAAGTGTGGCTCTCCTCTAAGGATCTACCCCTTCAGGTCGAGTCCCGCAAGTTGGCACCTAAGTTTGTAGGCCCCTTCACCATTGATAAGATTATCAATCCCTCAGTTGTGCGTCTGACCTTGCCGAAGTCTATGAACATTCACCCCTCTTTCCATGTATCCCTGTTGAGGCCCGTAGTTTCTAGTCCTCTCTGCCCTCCGGCCGATCCCCCTCCTCCCGCCCGTGTCATTGACGACCACCCCGCCTTCACTGTCCGGCGTGTCCTTGATGTCCGGCGTCGTGGGAGGGGCCACCAGTATCTTGTGGACTGGGAGGGGTATGGTCCAGAGGAGAGGTCCTGGGTGCCTCGGCATTTCATCCTGGATGCGGCTCTCCTCCGGGATTTTTATTCGTCGTTCCCTGACAAGCCTGGCCGGACGTCGGGTGACGTCTCCTAGGGGGGGGGTACTGTCACGCCCCCATCTGTCACTAGTCTTCACAGCCTCTTGCTCCTCCCTGTGTGTGTGTGTGTGTGTGTGCGTGTGGACCTGGGTGGAGTCGGGAGCTGCTCACCTGCTCTCACTTCAACAATCAAGCAGCCTACATCCAGCCAGCTCTCCAGACAGACTCTGCCAGATTGTTTCGTCTCTATCACGGTGATTTTTCAGTCGGCTATTTTTGATATACTGCTGATACTTACCCCTTTTTTGCATACTCACCTTTTTGTCTCCTGTGTTCCTAGCTCCTGGGCTAGGGACTAGTGGCAGCCCTTCCTTATCACCTCCGGAACAACGCAATAAACATTTCACTTTTGTATTTCTGTTTTAGTCTGTTTATTGGGTCCTATCGCCAAGCCTTAACAACAAATATTTCTTTTACACACACACAAATCTGGTTACGCACGCACAAATCTGGTTACGCACACACAAATCTGGTTACGCACGCACAAATCTGGTTACGCACACACAAATCTGGTTACGCACGCACAAATCTGGTTACGCACACACAAATATTATTGAAACAATAATAGCTCCATACAATGCAGTGTTTTTCAACCACTGTGCCGCGGCACACTAGTGTGCCGTATGATATTGTCTGGTGTGCCGTGAGAAATTCGTCTACTTTGTCTAAAAATAGCTGCATTCGCTGTTGACGAGCGGTGACTTGTTTTGAACTGTGAGTAACCATGTAATACTTTTTCAAATCAGTAGATGGCAGCAGATAGCTAACTACTTTGAAACTGAAAAATTGGATGCGACCACTGGCTGTAACAGGTCAGCATTGTGGCGAGAAAGGTAAAATTGGATGCGACCAACAAATGTGGGAGGGAGCGAGACAAGAGCTTTGTGGCGAGTGAGAAGTGAAAGTGATAGAGACGTTTTTGAAAATGAATTATGCCGTTTCTGAACAGGATTAACATCCTCCGCTCTGCCCCGGGGCAGCTGTGGCCGCGTTGTAGTGGTTTAACTATGAAATGTACGATTTTTGTACAACAGCTCTCGCGAACGCACTTCTGAACTGGGTACCGAGCGCAGACCGTAGTCGAGTGGACAGAACCACAGACATGCGGACCGGACAGAACCATGGACTCGCGTTCAGGACCTCCCGTGTCCCTCATCCAAAACTCCTGAATTTAAAGCTCGGATACCTAAA